TAATAATGTGTATGAAGCATTGAGCATTCCAGAATGGAAAAATGCGGTACTTGAGGAAATGAATGCATTAGAAAAGAATGGCACGTGGGAGATAGTAGAACTTCTGAAAGGAAAGAGAGTTGTGGGGTGTAAATGGGTATTTAACCCTAAATATGATGCTGCTGGTAATTTAGACAGGCTAAAGGCACGATTAGTGGCAAGGGGGTTTACTCAAACGTATGGTTTGGACTACAAGGAGACTTTTGCTCCCGTGGCCAAACTAAATACAATCAGAATTTTGATTTCTGTAGCTGTAAATCTGGACTGGCCCTTGCACCAACTAGATATTAAAAATGCTTTCTTGAATGGGGATCTTAAGGAAGAAGTCTTTATGACGTTACCCTCAGGCTTTGAGGCAGGGAGAAAAAATCAGGTGTGTAAGCTGAAAAAATCATTGTATGGTTTAAAGCAATCACCTCGGGCTTGGTTTGACAGATTTTCCAAAGTTTTGAGGGCAGAAGGGTACACACAGGGGTTGTCTGACCATACTATGTTTGTAAAAATGGAAGGAGGAAAAGGGTGTATTCTCATAGTATACGTTGATGACATAGTTGTCACCGGCGATCATGAGGAGGAAGTAAAAAGAATAAAGATGGCTCTTAGAAAAGAATTTAAAGTGAAGGACCTTGGGAATTTGAAGTACTTTCTGGGTATAGAGGTTGCAAGGTCAAAGAAAGGGATCCATGTGTCCCAAAGGAAATACATCATTGATTTGCTTACTGAGACAGGTATGTTAGGATGCAGACCTACAGACACACCTGTCATGGTCAAGAAAAAGGGGGCGAAACCGAGAAAAGAGAAGGAAGATGAGATTGAATCTGAAAAAGATAACTGTGAAGAGGAAGAAGAGAAGAATGAGTCAGTGGACAAAGAGAGATACCAAAGGTTAGTTGGGAAACTAATCTATCTCTCTCACACTCGGCCAGATATAGCGTTTGCGGTAAGTGTTGCCAGCCAATATATGTGCGACCCTAGGGAGAGGCACATGGAAGCAGTGTATAGAATCTTGAGATACTTGAAAGGAACACCTGGAAAAGGGTTGTTATTCAAAAAACAAAACCTACAATCCATAGAAATTTATACAGATGCAGACTGGGGAGGAACATACAAGGATAAGAGGTCAACATCAGGATATTGTTCCTTTGTATGGGGAAATCTAGTCTCATGGAAAAGCTAAAAACAGAGAGTAGTTTCTAGGAGTAGCGCTGAATCAGAATTGAGGGCGTTGGCTCAAGGCATTTCAGAGGTATTGTGGGTAAAACGAGTCATGGATGAGATATATGTCAGAGTTGCTCCTCCATTAAAGCTCTACTGTGACAACAAAGTTGCAATCAGTATGGCGCTGAATCCTGTCCAACATGAAAGGTCCAAGCATGTGGAAATTGACAGACACTTCATTAGGGAAAAAGTTGAGGAAGGAGTCGTGTGCCTCATCTACCTACCAACTAGACTCCAAGCTGTAGATGTGCTCACCAAGGGATTATACAAACCAGCATTTGATAATTGTATTAGCAAGTTGGATATGATTAGCATCTATGATCCAACTTGAGAGGGAGTGTAGTTAGAAATAGTAATTATTTAATGTAAATATATGTTATTATTGGGAGAGATATTAGGTAGTTATAACAGAGTGATTTACGCGATTCACTTCCCGATATACTCCTCTGATTCTGTCTCCATCATTCTCGGAGATATGATCAGTCTTGCTTTTGTATATATTGCTGTACATACCTTCGGATGAATATACCAGAGTAATTCGGCTCAATAACTTCATAGATAATAATATTATTGAAAAAACTCAAAATTTAAAAAATAATTCTATCATGGTAGAAAAATATCTATCATGATATTAACAAGTGAAAGATATTTTTCTAAATACTATCATGATAATGAAAAGGTTTACCATAGTAAAAAAAAATAGAATCATAAATTAAAAATATTTACCATGATAAAAAAGAGCTTACTGTGGTCAGGTTTTTAATTAAGAAACAAAATAATAATTTAGAAAATATATCATGGTAGAACTAAAATTTTTTATAATCAAAACATTTTATAAATATCAACTACCATGACAATAAAATAGTTTCACAAATCCAAGAAAAAATCTACCATGATATTTAAGAACATAATTTAACTAAATAAGAAGTGCTAAAATATGCTCTTATTGAACAAGTCTTTTAAAAAGGATATACAACATTTAAAATAATATATTATAGTTCCCAACAAATTTTAAAATAAACAATTTAAAACTTAAATGATATCAAATTTTCTAAATAATTAAACAATAATCCTTTAAGAGCATGAGGAGTAATCAAAAGTTTCATGACCAATAAATGTAACATAAAATAAATTAAATTATAAATGTTCATAATAACCAAACTGTCATAAGTTGATATTTTATACATTGCTTCAAAAAAAAAAACAGAGAGAAACCACATCGGTCAAGGGTGTCAATATGCAACTAATGACTCTCTTGATATTTATCTGGCTAGACCTTTTCCTAAAAACAATAACTATTGGGAATGAGACGCGAGGGTCGTAGTAACCAATTTTTGAATGAAACAAAGCATGTAAAGTTGTCACATATACGGATTGCTAAGTGGGAATAAAAATACATTTTAAACAGTTATATATATTCAATTTGTAACCACACTTATATGGCATGACAACTCCTTATCTCTTTCATAACCCATGCTTAATATTCTAGTTCACCTAGTCAAAGATAAATTAATCCAAGCCATTTGTACCATCCATTGAACCTAATAGGAGTATAACATGTGGTAAGATTTATTCAACACATGACTCTATGTATCATATACCAACAAATCATGCAATTAATAACAATGCCAATACACATAAATACATCACACATTAAAACTCATGCTTTTCAATATACATTTTACTCTAAACACTTTATCATAAACAATTAATATCCTACTTGGCAACATGTGTTCTCAACACAATAGAGTTTGATCTAACACATGGGTTCTCAATATATATATTTCATAATTCAAAATTCATATAATTAATTACAAAACACATGATATAACATCAAGAAGTGATTACCTCTACTCTTTGATAGTCAGGTTCCTTGAACACACAAGTGATCATTTATTTTGTCTACAACACAATTATGATAATTAATAGTAACACATATTAATTATAACTAATTACTATACCTAACACTAATCTCTTACTAATCCTAGGATTAGATTAATCAATCTTGTTAACGTAGGAAAATCCCATACAAATAACGAACTGAATAATTCTCACATTAGGCAACGGATCAACGATCTAACTTTTGAAAATGATGAGTTGGATGTTATGAACCAACTGACCAAATTTCAGCTTGAAATTATCAAATGCCAATTTGATACTCATTATCCACAATCTTATTAAATAATAATTTACAACTGACCTTCCAAAATTTAACATGACGCATTTCAAGGGGGAAAATTAGGATAATGAAACTTTTAATTTCTCCATATTGTAGAAAAATTGTTTAACTAATGAGATCAAATAAGAATATGAAATTTTTAGTGAATTAATTGATAAAAATTAAATTTCAGAAACTAAATTGATAACTAAGGCAAACTTGAGAGATTGATAGCTTCATTATCTTGAAATATTTAATTATGTAATTTTTTAAGAATATCAAGTATCCAAGGTTCTTAACTAAATTTTTTTTAAAAAAAAATTATCTCATGCTAAAATTAAGTTGAAGTATTGGTCCTAAAATGTCATTCCCCCCATTAATAAATGCCACACGTGGGAGGTCTTTGAGTTTAAAAAATGTAGTAGTTGAGTACTTGTCCTGCAGAATAATTAGGCTCCAAAGCCTAAACATCCAACATGCTTCATTATAGATCTTTTTTTGTTTTTTGGTCCGTTCAATAACCAGGGTTTTCTTTCTCAGGAAAACACAATAAATCACGACTTTTCATTGAGATAACTGCGCCTGTAGTTGGCTTTGTGGTACTGCTTAGCCTTATTGGGATTTATGTTGCACGAGGATGGAAGCTGAGAACAGCTTTTCAAAGTAAGTGCACTTATCGATCTATTGGTGAGAGTATGCCATAACATTTTTTTTGGGTGATTTTTTAATTAATCAAGTGGCGCCAATCAAAATGGCGGCCATGAAAAATCCAGGGACATAAAATTTTATGAGCTGACTAATGACTGTCGCGAAAAAAGTGACAGATAAAAGACGATAAGAGTTGAACTCACTAGCTTAAATTCCTCTCTCCCAGGTGAACTTGAAGCTGACGCTGAAATTGAGCCTGTTGCATCAATGCAGTTCAGCTTTGACACCATCAAAGTCGCTACAAATTCCTTCTCTGATGCAAATAAGCTTGGTCAAGGTGGATTTGGACCTGTTTATAAGGTTAGGATAACACTTTTATGCCAAGATAAATATCAGTTCTAAGTCCAATCCTAATAAATCTTGGTTCTTGATCAACTTCAGGGTAGGCTCTCCAATGGACAAAATATTGCCGCCAAAAGGTTGTCAGGGGTTTCTGGGCAGTTAAGAATGAAGTGCTATTAATGGCTAAGCTTCAACACCGAAATTTAGTTCGGCTGCTTGGTTTTTGCTTGGAAGAAAAAGAGCGACTACTTATCTATGAACTCCTTCCAAATAGAAGCCTTGATCACTTCATTTTCGGTATGAAATTTTCTTTCAACAAAAATCACCTCAGTTTTTGTCGTGTGGATAAATAAGGAACAATCTTGGTAATTGTTTATATGATTATAACTTGACTTGAAACATGTAGATCCTTTTAAGCATGTGTGCTTGGATTGGGAAGCACGTTTCAAAATTACAGAAGGCATTGCCCGTGGACTTAATTATCTTCATGAAGAATCTCAATAACGGATTATTCATCGAGATCTTAAAGTAAGTAATATTCTATTAAATGTAAACATGAATTCTAAAATATCAGATTTTGGAATGGCAAAATTATTTGCCATTGATGAGTCTCAAGCCAAGACAAATCGAATTGGGGGAACCTTGTAAGTCTATCAATATGATGAAGCTACTTGCCATCTAAAGACTCTATCTCTACAGGACTATAACAAAACAAGCATGCTCTTGAACATGACTGTGTTTTAATGTGCAGAGGGTATATGGCACCAGAATATGCAAAGCATGGATGATTCTCTGTAAAATTTGATGTTTTTAGTTTTGGTGTACTAATTCTAGAGATTGTAAGAGGACAAAAGAATGGTGGCATCCATGATGGGGAGAATATTGAGCACCTTCCAAGCTTTGTATGTTTTCCTTCTTTTCATTATTTATCTCATTTTCTTTTACCATATTAGATTACTTCAAATTTTCTGTAATTGTACCACTTCTTGCAGGCATGGAAAAGCTGGAGGAGAGGGACATCATCTAATATTGTAGATCCCACATTATCTGACAGTTCAAGAAGTGAAATAATGAGATGCGTTCACATTGGCTTGCTGTGTGTTCAAGAAAGGGCTGCTGATAGACCAACCATGGCTTCGGTTTTGCTTATGCTTGACAGCGACTCTCTCTCTCTTCCAGAACCCTTACAACCTGCATTTTTTATGAATAACAAAAGTTTATCACACATCAAATCTGAGGAGTACAATTCTGTGTCAGCAAGCTCAAGTGAACAAACTAGTAAAACTGCTGAAATATTATCAGTAGATGAGGCCTCAATAACTAAGCTATATCCACGCTAAAGGTAAAGGATCTACATTTAATACTCATTATGTGCTCTTTGTTGTGATGAGATATAAGCCGTCCAATTTTTTTTTTTTTTAAAAGTGGCAATTATATAAATATCCTTATTTTAGATTTTGTGCATATTAAACTATAAAGTTAATTAGAATATTTAAAAAAATTAAATTAGATTTATTCCATCCAAAATCAATCTAAACGGTCCAAATTGATGATGAAAACCCCTTGATATGCTCTGTAAATGTAAATGTCAAAGTTAAACCCATGGGCATCAATTACCGGTTTACAACTTGTTTTATAAAGAAAAAAATAATACCCGATGATTGTCCAGATAATTAAAAAGAAAAATTCTTCAATTGCATCAGCATGGAAAGAGTGAGCCTTTTATTTTTATTTTGAACCCAGTGGCTCATGTGTTGTCAATAGGGATTTTGATGGATGATGAAGGATGCGGAAAAGAAATTAACTTTTCTTGCAGGTTTAGGCTGTCAAAGGCTTGAAGCACTCTTAATCCCACAATACCACCATAGGTGGTGGTGTACAAGTTTGAATGCAACTTTGTGAACTTCCAGAATCTTTGTGCCACTTGTATGTTTGCCAACAACAGCGTTTGTGGGTTGACACTTGGTTGATTGAACTTGCAATGAAAAATATTGTCAACTCTAACAGTCACAATCCTCTGACGAATCCCAATCTTCCTAACTCTTTTTATTACCCCTTATCACTATTCGAGTAATCAAGCATGCCCCAAAAGAAAAATAAAAAATAAACAGCATAATAGCTACTCTCTCATACTTCCTGTACCCTTGTGAACTGCGTTTTCTGCATGCTTCTAGTTTATTTTTCGATGTCCATTCTTGGAAGTAAAACTCAGTTGCAACGAGTTCATGTGAATCTGAAAGTATTTTGCGTAACTATCAATTCTAACTTGTAGATAAAGCATGACGGGCGTCATCTTGTAAAATCCAGTAGAGAACATATCTTGTACCCCTAAAAGAACCTTCTCAACTGCCAAGCCTTAAAAATTTGGTAAAGAAATAATGTTGCTACAAATTGATCTAAAGCAAACAACTGATTTTAGAATCTTCTTTCCAATAAGGATGATTATTGTCCAACCTTCATGGATGGATCTCTAATTAGAGTGAGCCAATCATCATTTTCTCCTTCAAGATAGCTTAAGCTTCGTTTTCCCTCCTCTTCCCATTGGCTCAAAACCTTTCCGTTGGTTGTGTTTAATTATTTCTGCTGCTCTGTATCCTTCTTTCTTTTGTTTCCTTATCAGTCTCTCCCTTCCGCCATGCACTTACAAATCTCAATTCCTCAACAGAACAAATGGGATATGAGTGATCATTTAATACCATGTGAGCCAACAGACTATGGGTCAGATATTAAATTGATAAGAACAAGTACTACACTTGATCTTAGCCAAAAGGCCTAGAAGTCATTGATAATTTTATTTTTTGTTGTTTCCACCCTTCAAGGACAATTTGGTGGTGTTTGCCCCCAACCAAAGTTCTGACTGCAACCAAGTTTTAAAGACCATGCGGTTCACCATATTGATTTTGACCCCGTCAATATCCAAAGGGAATAGTATTTTCCTTTTTCTTTTTGTTTTTATTTTTGGTGGGATAAATAAGGGAAACAGTGATATTAAATATCTGAAATATTAAAATATTAACATATTTCAAAACAGAAGCCAAGAGAAAAGATAATATTAAAATATCTGAGAAGAAGGTCCATTTAGATTGGTTCAGTTCGTATTCAATGAAGCATTGGCAGTTGTACATACTATAAATAAACACAACAAACATTTGGGTGTTTCCTAAAGGCAACATGGAGCTGAAAGAGACATGCATGCATTCCCTTTACTTCATCTCATTAGTGAAAAGCTTCACATTTATCCCAGCAAATTAGCCGGAGAAGCCTAAAGTGAAAATGTTTCACTCCCTAAACTGGAGAAATTTTCTTCTGGTTTTATTCTCAGTTTCTGCTTTTATCATCCCTCATAACTCCTAGATAACCTACCTCAAAGAGGCCTGTAATCATCCATCTAATAGCAGAGATTATGCAAAATTCAAAATCAACCTCACTTTCCTCTTGAATTCTTTGTCTTCTAAATCATCCCTTCACAGCTTTTACAAAGGTTTTTCACGTAATCTTTATGGTCTCTACCTCTGCAGGGGTGATGTTTCCCTTCAAACCAGCCAAAACTGCGTCAAAGTTGCAATTCGAGAAATCAAAATCTGGTATGATCAGTACATGCTCAGATACTCTCAAAGGAAGTTCTTTGGAGTGGCTCAAATTTCGCCAGCAAAATTCATGTGGAATCAGAAAAATAGGACTTCAGTCAGTCAACCCGATGTTGAAGCGCTAGCTCTGATTTACCAACTCATAAAAGAAGCCACAAACACATCTATGCTGTTCAGAGCAAACGGTTCAGAGGTGGTGGCAAATAGTTCTTAGCATCGATATGGGCTTGTGGAGTACACAAGAGACTTGGACAGTAGTTCATGCAGCTTCTGTTTGTCACAATTGATGGTAGAAACACAGAAATTTCCCCGGCAGAAGGCTGGTTGGCACATATTGGGTCCAAGTTGCAATATAAGACATGAAAATTATATCTTCTACCAGCAAATTGGCGGACCAGATATTGCCCCTGTATCACCAATTTACCCGCCAGATGATGCAGGTAGATGTATTTTCTTTTTCCGATGTTTTAGTTTCCTCAGAAATTTGAGTCTTCTCTAGACTTGAACTTCCCAAGTTTGAATCTCAGTCCCAAATTCAATTAAAAAAAGCATGAATTTGTGAATACTTACTGTAACTAACCACTTTTTTAACTAACCACTTTTTTCTTTAATTTTTAATTAAGAAATGGTTTACGCTTAGAGTTGGATCTGATTCCACACCTATACTAACACAATTCTTGTAAGAGCAGGTTCTGCGGAAGGATTCACATCCAAAGTTAGAGCCAGTGTAGTTATGCTTGTCCCGATTGCAATGGCTGCAGCTTTTTTGGGTTTTGCAACTTACGTATGTTTTCACTGGAAAAGAAACCTTAAAGGTATGTGATGAGAAGAATCAAGCCCCTCTGAAGTTTATTTTACCTGAAGTTTGAAGAGAGAAAAAGAGGCCGTGGCCCTTATATCCACCATGTTTGTCCTACATGAGTGGGCCCCATTTCTTTCCTCTCTTCCTCTCTCTGATCCTAAGGTCAAAGGATATGTTACATGATGAGAGTGAGAGCCTGACTATATTTTTCTACTTTTCACGCACTAAATGTTTTATTTATTTGCAGAACTTTCTAACTAGTTTTTTTTTTTTTTTTTATATCCAGGGGGAGAAACAACTGATGAAATTCTGACACAGAAGTTGGAGAATTCAAAGAAGCCCCACTTTAAAGAGAAAGGAACCGCGAAAGATGAGTACAACAATGGAGAAGTTCAAAACTATCGTTTGAAGACCATTAAGGTCGCAACAGACTATTTCTCAGAAGAAGCCAAGCTAGGGAAAGGAGGATTTGGACTCGTTTTCAAGGTTGGAGAGCAAACTTTCTTACCTACCTGAGTTTAGCATATTGAGTTCAAGTGCATGATATGGAAGTTGCATTAGAAATGATTAATTTTCATGAAATAAATGGAGTATTCACCTTACTCAACCATCTGCCATCCTGACGCTCTAAATATGCACAATTTATCATCCAACGGAGGCATCAAATTGCATAGATTTAATTACAAACTTTTAAACTGAAAAAATCAAATTGAAATTTAAATCAACCATCAAATTGTATGATAATTATTTTGATAATTCCTCCAGGAATATTTTGCAGACTTTAAAATCAATGATTGTGAATGAACTACACTTTCCTAAGATATATCAGTTCTCATTTTTTACGGAAAACTAGATTTTTTTTTTTCCCTTCATATTTCTTGATTGTGATTAAACTATAGTATACATCCAGGGGAAGTTGAGTAATGGCAAGGAGATAGCAGTTAAGAGGCTTTCATTCAAATCAGGGCAAGGCCTTGAAGAGTTCAAGAATGAAGTGACATTGATAACAAAACTCCAACACAAAAATCTTGTGAGGCTTTTGGGGTTCTGTCTGGAAGAAAATGAAAAGCTTCTGGTCTATGAATACATGCCAAACAATAGCCTTGATACCTTCTTGTTTGGTTTGTTTTTTCCCTCCCTCTTTGATTACGCAAATATCTATATCTTCTTCTTATTCATAAGGAGTTTCCTTTTAAGCAGATCCAATAAAACGTCAACAACTAGATTGGTCTAAGAGGAGGAGTATTATAAAGGGAATTGCTAGAGGACTCCTGTATCTGCATGAGGACTCAAGGCTAAAAATTATCCATAGAGATCTAAAAGCAAGCAATGTGTTACTAGATGAAGAGATGAATCCAAAAATATCAGATTTTGGAACTGCTAGAATTTTTGTCAGCAATCAAATTCAAGCTAGTACTGAAAGAGTTATTGGGACATAGTAAGTATTTATGATTCTCTCTGCTTCCCTTATAGCCCTATGTGACACATGCAATATGATGCTTCTTCATATTGTTCACCATTGCACTGTTCCTATCAGCAGAATCGATATTAATCTTATACAGAAATTGAATTTGCATAACATTGATCCTTTTTCATCGCTAACTTCCTCTATTCTGTAGACTGAATATACATAAAAGATGTTTACTCATATTGCCTATCCTTCTTACTTGATAAAGGCTTCCTAAACATTCTACAGTGGATATATGGCACTTGAATATGCTTTAGAGGGATTATTTTCCATCAAGTCAGATGTTTACAGCTTTGGTGTCATCATGCTAGAAATTATCAGTGGAAAAAGAAACACCAGCTTCTACCAACCAGAACGTGGTTTGAGTCTTCTCTCCCATGTAAGGCCCCCCCCGCCTTTTGCCCCCATATTTTACATGGAGGCTTTTCATGATAGTGAGATAAGGTTAAAAATTGTAATATAATATTTACGAACAATTGTTCGTGGAAAAGAAAACCTCATTTCGCCTCTGAGAGTTTGAACAGGCATGGCGACTCTGGAATGAAGGCAAAGGACTTGAACTTGTGGAGCGTCACTTGGTCAACACTTGCCCGGATAAAGATGAAGCTTTGAGATGGATCCGCATCGGGTTTCTGTGTGTTCAAAATATTTTTATTTGACTATAAAAAATATTTAAATAAAAAAGACATCAATCCTCAAAATATTATATAAATTAAAAATATTATTTTTTAAAAAATATAACATTTTATAAGATGAAATGTATAACATGTAATAAAATATAATTTTTATTTTTTACATAATATCATTTAAAAAATTACTTCCTCCATTTAAAAATGTGAGACCTTTTTTTAAGAGTTGAATGTTTAAAAATATAAAGTATTTTTAATCTTTCAAAATATAATCATTGTCTTTTTTTAAAAAATGCCCCTATTGACAAATAAATTTATATTTATTGTAGAATGTTTAATAGGAGTAAATATGAGAAGATAAGGTTAGTTTGAAAGCAGATAGCTATTTTATTGAGATGTGAGATTCGATTAAAAATGCCTTATATTTTTGAATAAAGGGAGTATAATAAAATAAAAAATATAAAGATTAAATATTTAAATGTATAAAATGTAAGGCCTTTTTTAAGGCCTTATTGGGGTGTGACATGTATAAAATATAAAGCATTGAAATGTATAAAATGTATAACATGTAATAAAAAGCAATTTTTATTTTTACATAATATCATTTAAAAAATTACTTCCTCCATTCAAAAATGTAAGGCCTTTTTTAAGAGTCGAATGTTCAAAAATATAAAGCATTTTTAATCTTTCGAGATATAATCATTGTCTTTGTTTTAAAAGCACCCCTATTGACAAATGAATTTATATTTATTGTAGAGTGTTTAATATGAGTAAATATGGGAAGGTAAGGTTAGTTTAAAAGTAGATAGCTATTTTATTGGGGTGTGAGATTCGGTTAAAAATGCCTTATATTTTTTAATGAAGGGAGTATAATAAAATAAAAAATATAAAGATTAAATATTTAAATGGAAAAAATAGCATCCAAAGACCACCATATGATATTTCTATCAAAGAAGGACCAAATGATTTCATATTATCACTATAATCTTTTGGTCCTTCTTACATATTAATTTCATAAGAAAAAAGACCGAAATACCTCTCAATTTAAAATAATATGTACAACACACGTAGAACCTTGAAGAAGGTTACTTTACCCCATTTGTCGGACGAGCTGCCCTCACAATTACGCCCACGACTCCCCCACATCAATGACTGCCGGAAGCATTTTCTTCTCCAACTTTCGAGGATGAAATGGTTGTTCCTATCTGTGCATGACATTATAAGGGTGATTCTTTGATAACATTATCGGTGGTCGAAGGTTTGGCAGTGGATCATTGTGAATTGTTGAAGGTGGTTGTTCTCAGGCATTGTTGGAGGTGAACAAAGGTGCTCACTAAATGATAAGACGGATTTCATTCTTCTGGAGGTATTTATTGTCATTTATCTCCATCTTAGTTGAAACAATGTAGTTGAGTGATTGGTTGGCATTATTTCAATCTGCATGCTAAGTTTATGTCCTTTATGTGTTTGTTGACCGTTGCTTTATATGCATGATAACAACTTCCATTGGTGAATTAACAAGCTCCCCTCATTGTATTGACAAGATGAGGGCAGAAAAATGAAAACTTATACTGGAACAAGTTCTTTTAGAACATTAACAAGTAACCATGTTGAAATAACAAGAACTTTGACTATGATTAACCACTCCCTTTAATATATTGACAAGCGTATGATTTTATAACAACTTACAATCGTTAATTAACAAGTCCCTTACTATATTAACAAGTAGGCATAAGGAAATAAGAAGAGTGTTTAGTGTTTTGACAGGTGTTTGACTGAGAAACAACTTCAATTTGTGAATTAACAAGATTTGTTATATTTCTGACAAGTTGAGGGTAGTATATAATGATAAATATTCTGACAAATCCCTTTAGTGTTTTGACAATTTAAATTGGTGAATTAATAAGATCCCTTAGATTATTGATAAGAGCAGGGTAGTATGTAATGATAAATATTCTGACAAGTCTCTTTAGCGTTTTGACAAGTTCAATTTGTTAATTAAGAAGAAACCTTAGATTATTGACAAGTGATAGGTTGTATACAATGATAAATCTTTTGACAAGTCCTTTTACTACATTGACAAGTCGTCATGGAAAATTAATAAAAGTCTTTACTATTTTGACAAGTGTATGATTGAGTGACAACTTCAATTTGTGAATTAACAAAATCTCTTAAATAATTTACAAGAGCAGGGTATGATATATATATAATGATGAATGTCCTGACAAGTGCCTTTACTATTTTGACAAGTAGCCATGAGAAATTAACAAGAGTCTTTACTGTTTTGATAAGTGTATGATTGAGTAACAACTTCAATTCATGAATTAACAAGATCCCTTAGATTATTCACATTATAAGAGTATTACATATATAATGGTGAATGTTTTGACAAATGCCTTTACTGTTTTGACAAGTTTTCATGGGAAAGTTAACAAGAGTCTTTACTGTTTTGACAAGTGTATAATTGAGTGACAACTTCAATTCGTGAACTAATAAGATCCTTTAGATGATTTACATTATAAGAGGATTACACATATAATGGTGAATGTTTTAAGAAATGCCTTTACTGTTTTGACAAGTTTCCATGAGGAAATTAACAAGAGTATTTACTGTTTTGACAAGTGTAGGATTGAGAGAATGGTTGACAAAGAAGGATAGAAGAGGTTGACAATGGATGATTCTACAGTCATTTTTTCATCTACATGCTACTGTACTTTGCTTGCAGAGCTAGTTCAGAGAGAAGAAAAATAGGGAAAAGCTTCGACTGAGATAGCTTTCAGCTGGGAACACGTTTCCAACATTCTGTGAGGCATTTTGGTCTTTTTTCTTATAAAATTAATATATAAGAAGGACCAAAGGACTATAGTGATAATATAAAATTATTTGGTCCTTCTTTGATATAAATATCGTACAGTGGTCCTTGGGTGCTATTTTTCCTATTTAAATAAATATATCAAATGGTAGCAAAAGTTATGATCACCAAGATAAATTCAAAAATAGGGTAATAATAATAATATTTTAAATGTTTTTTAGTTTTAAGTAATTAAATTAGTAATTACTGATATTAAAATTTAAAAAGCACCAGGTCCTAAGAAAAGTGGAGGCAGCATGATTCAATAGGATCAGGGGTTAGTAAATGGCGCGGGCTTTGTTCAGTCATCAGTATAAATGGCACAGGCACAGTTTCAAAAATAAATAAATAAATAAAGCTTGAAACTTCTCTCTTCCCCATCTTTTTCCTTCGTCATCTATGTTAGGGCTGTGTAAAAGTCTTCTAATTTGGTCCGACTCAGTCCAATTTGAAATAATCTTGTCTTGTTTAGTCCTTATAAATACTGGTCTTTTAGATCAAAAAGATTGAAAAAGATCAAACTATTTCTTCATGTTGGACTGGACAGGAGACTAGACATCTGGACCACTTAGTCCGATCCTATCCTATTAATTTATTTAATATAATTATAATTAATTTATTTTTCACAAACACTTCAAGTATAATTGACGCTAAGAAGATAATTGTATGAAGATTTGTTGAGTTTGTTTCTAAATTGTTATTGTAATTTAGTGTTATTGAAGTTTGTTGAGTATTGTTTTTGTTAAAATTATAAATTTAAATCATTTGGATTGTAATTGAAATTTTTTTCTTGTTGTTGGAAATGATTTTTGATTTATTATGATTATAAGTGATTTTATTATTTTAATTGAGCTTATTAAGTTGAAATGGATTATTGCCTCTCATAGAGACAAAAAGAAAAAAATAGCTAAGTGAGTATTAAACTAACAGGACCAATCTCTCAATCCTATGAACCAAGTTTGGTCCTAGATAAGACCAGACTATAGGTTGCCTAACCTAATTATTTTTATGAAAGAAATCAGACTTTGAGTTAAGTTAAAATTCAATATTATCTAATCTTTTGTGCAGCCATAGTCTGTGTGCACTTTGAAACTTTCATCCTCCTTAAAAATAAATTGCAATGGAAATTGCAGATGGGAGATGTTGACGGCTTTGGTATACAATTTCTTTACTTTTTTAGTTTCTTTCTTCATCATTTTTCCCCTGAATCTTCTCATCTTCTTTTTTCTTTTTTTCCCATTCCTTCTTCTTCATCCCTCATCTTTTATTCATCCATATTCTTCGTCTCTTTCTTCTAATGGTTAGTTTTTTCATGATGACTCGATTAACCCAACAAGTTGGCCCTTTTTTTGGGTTAATCTCGAGTTAATCGAACTACACCAAGTTACTATGATTCTAGATTATTTTCTTGACCAGACTAGCCAAGAGACTTGTTCATCAATTTATCAATTTGACCCACTGGGCCGATCCGAGTTTAAATACCATTAATAAGATAGTCATAGAAAACTACCTTACTGATAATACTTTTTAACATTTTATAAAAATAATGACCATATCAATAATACTTGTAAATAAAGGCACAGTTGTTCATCATGGCATGTGATAAATATATATTAAATTTGAGAGAATAATAAAGAAATTATAAAATGATCAATCAATTCAAGTTAAGTATCAGTTGTTAAATTTTAGGAATTTACCACTCAATAAATTTGTAATTTGTATTTTAAATTTAACACAACAATGTTAAAATTTAAAAAATAAATTACAAATTCATTATAACGTAATTGCAAAATTGAGAGATTGAGTTGTAAATTTTCTGAATTTGGCACTTAAGACTTAACTTGAATTAATTGGTCTTTTGAGACTTCTTTATCATTCTCACATTAAATTTTCTATATTCATATATTTAAAAAATACACAAAAAATAAAAAATTTTGTGAAATATATTTCTCATTTATATTTTTTATATATTCCTTATATATATATATATATTATAAGTTCATTTTGGAGGATAATAAAGATCTCGATTGGTAAAAGTTAATTTGAAAATGCTTGGTCTGTGCAGAGGAAATTTTACGAACCGCGCACCAAAATTTTTGGTTTTTACACTTACTGTGCGTGGACGACAAGGAACTAGAGAAGTCAATCTACAATAGTCAATAATATCAGTAAATAGATTGTTAAGCCAAACCATACACATTTTTTGTTCCTATTTTAATTTTAATTTTGTTTCTGAGTTTGATAAATAAATTACCATATTTATGACATGACTTCTTCAGTAATTTTTACGGTGCAGATGTTTTTTATTTTATATTGATGATTAGTATCGATACCAATGATATTGATTTTTTTTTTTTTTGGTACATTGCTTGACTGGGACATAAGTTTACGCGGCAAGACAGTCACAAAAGTCAAGTCAAATCTGCAATGATAAAGATGTTATTAGTGAAATTGATGGGTGCTTTACAAGAACACCCCCGGGGGGCTGAAAGGGTTTAAATTTACCTGAAAGCTATAATAGTCAGACAAATTCAATGACTAGAGCAACTTATTTAGCATTGTTTGAAGTTCTTGTCACTCAAGTACATCAAGCCACCAGCCAACCAGAATTTCGATACCATTATTGCAACACCAGCAGTAACACCACAGCAAATAGCACCTGCTGGACCAATCTCAATACCATTTTATCAAATCTCACTTCCGACAAACAAATAGATTATGGCTTCTACAATCTCTCTCATGGTAATTACCCAAATGCAGTCTACACTGTTGGGTTATGCAGGGGAGATGTTATGTCAGATTTCTGCCATAGCTGCCTTAAAAATTCATCAGTCCTGCTGCCACTTTTATGTCCAGATCAGAAGCAAGATTTTGGGATGTACGATGAATGCATGTTATCTTACTCAAGACACCTCAATATTAGGCAAGAAGGTAGATCCTATAATTACTGTCTAAATGTGGAGCGTGAACACTGCAACAAATTGGAACAATTACAATCAAGTCCTAACAGGATTGCTGCGAAATATGAGTAGCAGAGCTGCATCAGGTGAGTCAAGTCTAAAGTTTCCTGCAGGAAATGAAGACGGACCTGACCTTCAAAAAATATATGCTGTCGTTCAGTGCACACCTAATTTGAATGAATCAGAATGCAACAACTGCTTGGTTTGGGCTATCTCACAAGTTCCAAATTGCTGTAATAACAGGCAAGGTGGTCGGATTATTACACCCATCTGTAACTTTAGATATAAGAGTAGCAGATTCTATGCAAGTCAAGCTGATGTGCCATTATCCGCACTGTCGCCGGAAGTGTCCCCTCCTCCTACATCTCCATCAACTCCTCCATCCACCAACACTACATCTTCATCACCTCCTCCATCTGCTGCCACAACATCCTCAAAAGGTACTTCCATTAGCAGATAGGCCTCCAAAACTTTCCCTTTATTGAGATTTCCCATTCCAGCTGGGAGGAATGGTGGTTTTTACTTTAACAGATACCTGGAGAATAAGTAAGACTTCAAAATCGATGTTCTTTGCCATTATCTCTCTCAATGAACGGGGTTTTTATTTTTCCAGGAAAAAAAATCACAGATTATCATTGCCATTGTTGTGCCTACTGCCGCCTTGGTTGTGCTGCTTGCGTTTGTTTGGACCTGTGTGAGAGTGAGAAAGCAAGGAAGAAAATTTCCAAGTACAAGTCAATTATTGCTGACAACTTGACAATGTTGATCAAAGTCAAAATCTATTAAATTTAGTTAGACTCCTTGGTTTTTGTTTGAAACAAGAGGAACGGCTTCTAGTATATGAGTTTCTTCCTAATAAAAGTCTCGATCACTTTATATTTGGTAAATTAGACATTATATTTCTACATGGGAAATGGAGTTCATTATCTTTTTTTGCAGACTAAATAGGAAAATATTTTGACTCTACTTTGTATGTTTCTCTTGGACTGAGGTATAGATCCTATTAGATGTGCACAATTGAGATGGGAAACATGTTAACAATTATAAAAGGAATTGCTTGAGGCTTTCTTTACCTTCACAAAGAATCTCAAAAGCAAATTATTCATCGTGATTTTAAAGCAAGTAACATTTTCTTAGATGCAAGCGGGAATTTAAAGATATCAGATTTTGGTGTGACAAAACTATTTATTATGAATCAAACTCAAGTCAACACGGATAGAGTTGTGGAGACCTAGTAAGTATCAAAACATGGCATGTCTAATTAGTTTCTAAGTGCCTCAGACCAAAAAGAAGAAAAAACTTGAATATGATAGTCAAGAGAAGTGTTAATTATCATATTTGATCACTTTGACATATAGTGGTTATGTGGTACCAGAGTATGCAAGGCATGGACAATTCTCAATGAAATCTGATATCTTTAGTTTTGGTGTGCTAATTCTAGAGATTGTGAGTGGCCAGAAGAATGGTGGCTTACATAATATGGAGAATGTAGAGCATCTACCGAGTTTGGCACGTTTTCTGCCTTTTCACTATTTATCGCCCTTGTCTTAGAAATTGCGTTTAAGAAATTAATCATTATCAGTCTACATGAAACATGAATTAAGCTTTGGACTAATACTTTTTAAAATTGAGGAACTTGTTGCTTGTAGGCACGGAACAGCTGGAAGAAAGGGATAGCCTCTAACATTATAGATCCCACATTAGCAGGTGGTTCAAGACATGAAATAATGAGATGCCTTCATATCGGTTTACTGTGTGCTCAAGAAAAAGATGCTGACAGACCAACCATGGCTTCCCTTGTGCTTATGCCTAGCAGTCACTCTTTCTCACTTCAAGCACCCATGAAACCTGCGTTTTTTATGAATGACACGAGTTTATCAGGCAGACAATCTAGGGATTACAGATCTGTGTCAACAAGTTCCGGTGAGAAAAAATGAAAATATGTAGAATCATTATCAGTAAACGAGGCCTCAATAACTGATATATCTCCTCGATAATTTAAGACGAACAGGTGACATTATTGATCATAATTGCTGGTATATTAGTTATTCCACCAATATAACAGTGCTTTATTTTTTTTAAAAAAAAAGAAAATCATAGAATTTTGCAATGCATAAACAGGAAAAGATGCAAGTAATGTATTTTAATTCAAAAGTACTCTGTATAGTAAATAGGGAATTTCATATCATGGAAACAGTGCAGAAATTATCTCTTTGTGGGTTGGTGATATTAGAGAACTCCATCCATAACAAACTCTACTAGGTCATCCAACGAATAAAAACCGTAGTCATTCTGATTATTCAAGGTTAGTTGACTTGCAGAAATTGTCACTTTTGTTTTATGCCATGCCAACAACATTATGTTGTCGAGTGAAATTGTCAGCATGTCTATTCATGTTAGGTCGTTGCTCTGATGGTATGTAGGGATGTCTAACATAAAAAGCATTTCATTAAAACTTGCAACAAAAATGGCCATTCAATAGCCATTACCAGATAGAAACCCATGACCCATAATTTAGCAAAGACACTAATAAGAAACACGTAGTCCTCTGAAAAATTGGCAGTGGTCTCCAAAGTTTCTCCTCTGCCCGAAAACTAATGTCAAAGCAAATGAACGAAACATGAACTCTAAGATAGATGATTGTCATGGTTTCCTCAGCAAATCTATCAATGTGTCGTGACCAAAAGGAAATAATTATAAGAGAAAGCTCATCCCAAAGGATAGATTGTTGGATTAGATTTAAGAGAATTCTTCAAATTTATAAACCCCATTTCATGTGAGAGCATGTATTGCCACCTTGAAATCACAAATGGGAGAGGATGCCTAGGTTCTCAAACTAAATGTATCCTCTCCTTAGTGCCCGCCTAAGTGCCTACACAAAGCTATAATGCTATAGGCTTTAGAATTGGCCGAGCTTACTTAGATTTAACTTAAAATATCCCCAATATATGAAAAAAAAAAAAACTCATAATGAATTTGAGTATTTCGGCTAAATCTATCTGGTTTAGACATGACTCAAGTTTCTTTGAGCTTACTTGTATATCCTGAATAAGCTTGGAGTAAAAAAAATTTCCTAACTTTTCAAGCTTGATCTTAAAATTTTTTAAATTTATTCAAACTGATTCATCAAGCTTAATCGAAATTACCAACTAATCTACCCAAATCCTTTAGCGTAGGAACATCAAGGGGAGAAGCTTTCATGCAACATGATGGCAATTTTAAAATAAAAATAAGATATAATGTAATTTTTAATCCCTCAAATTTAATTTCTATCAATTTAGTCCATTAAGTTTAAATTTAATTTAATCCCTTAAGTTTAAAATGAAAATAAATATAATTATTTAAGTAAAAAAATAAGCTCTGAAATTTTAAAAAATAAGAAAACAAAATAAGTTGTAAGAGCTTACTCCTCTTGTCTTATTTATAAAGGGAAGAGAGAGAGAGAAAAATTTAATCCTATTTATAAATACTTGTCAATTCCTAATATTTACCGTTACATTTTTATTTTTATTAAATATTTTAAATAAAAATATTAATAATAAATTTTAATAATATTTATTAAGAGTGAAGATAAAAATTTATTAAAATTTAAAATAAAATTAATAAAATTTAATATTTTTTTATTACAGAAAAATAGTAAAATATGTTGAGAATGACTTTTAAATAAACTCAAATCGAGTGTATTGATAAAAAGCAAACTCTGTTTTCAGTCATTCCAAACATTCTGATATACGGATTTCAGTTCCAATTTCATTTTCCAATTTCTGATTCACTTGTACCAAATATGGCTTAAAGTCATTATTAATTATTAAATGGTTAAAATCTCGTCAGATCAGCAAATAGTACACCGAACTACGGCCCCAACGAGAGAAACCCGAGGAGAAAGAAAACAGAGCGAGATGAATCCAGACGTCGATAAAATTTCACAAAATATGAAAGTAGGAACTTCCACGCAAGTGGTACTGCCGAAGATAGCCGGCGTTCCTGTGGACGTGATCCGTTAGCGAGCTCAAAGCAACTTCGCTACAGACAAACCATTCAATGAATGACGGTGACAATGGCTAACAAGTCTCTGGGAAAAGTCTACGAGAGAGAAGCAGTACATTTCTCCATTGAAGTTGTTATGAAAGCTTATTTTTTCACCCACTCTATATGGAAATTTCTACCATTTCTTTTACCCTCCTTCCTCTCCTTTCTCATCTTCCCTTCCTCATCGTTGGCCCTCCTGATTTCCGATGTAGCCACTGTGTCGATTCCAAAGGTCACTACACAAGTACAAGCACCTTCCAAGCAAACCTTAATATCCTTCTCTCACACCTCACTTCCGACGCCAAAATCAACAACTGTGGCTTCATCGATATCTCTCATGGCGAAAATCCTGACCGAGTTAATGCGATTGGGCTGTGCAGAGGTGGGGTTACGCAAGACGAACGCCAAAGTTGCCTCAGGAATGCGTCAATTATTCTCCCAAAGTTGAGTCCAATACAGAAGGAAGCAATGGGAAGCTCTGGTGAATGTACTCTACGATACTCAAATTATTCAGTATCACAGGTGTTGGAATCTGATTCTCTGCTCCGTTTAGTATCGCACTGCCTCTTTTATGATCCCGTAACTGATGGTTCGCCAAAACCTTATTCTCCATCGTCACAAGGTATGTACCAGTCAACTGACCCTGAGAAAATTTGGTCCCCTGACAAGATGACGATAAGTTTGATGGAGAAAGATTTCTGCTTCTTTAAGTCTGCTTTCATCTATCTGTTTCCTTGTAATCTTTATCTCCGCCTCAAATGGTAACTCTCTGCTGGGAATTTCCCTTCCATTTATGAAAGGAAAGGGTGCATTTTTGTCACAGTCACAGATATAACATTAAGCTTCAAAACTTATGTTCTTGAAGATCTTTTGGGAACTTTTTCTTTTCCGGAAAGAACAAGACATTACTAACAGTTGTCGCTATAGTTGTGCCTATTCTTGCCTCTATTGTGCTGCTTTTTGTCGTTTGGGTCTTCGTAAGAGAAAGAATGAACCGAAGAAGACATACTCAAAGTAAGTTTACATATTTATTTTCTTATTGCCCACAATCTAGATGTAAATCAAGGCATGATTAAATTTCTTTCAGCTTTTGAAAGAGACAGAAAGAGGAGGAAAGTGAGACCTACTTGAGGTTCTAATTTCTCCCTCTTACTCATCCATTCATTTGCAATGGCAAATTTCAGTTTTTGTCACTATGAACCTTCCAGAGGTGGGGTTCCCCTTTTCTTTTACACTTGTCTTCCATTTTTTCCTCCTGAACATCTGGGAATTCAAATCCACTATTTATTAGGATCCTGTTACGAAAGGGAAAATAGAAAGAAGAGAAAGAGTTGAATCTCACTTTTTTTATCCGTATTTCATTTATTCTCTCATACAAGAGTTAATCTTGGTACATTCTGAACTAAATTTGATTTGAAGAACTAGCTTAAATTCCTATTTCTTGGCGAATCTGAAGTTGACAATGCCACTGAACTTGCTAAGTCAATACAATGTGCATTTCAGACCATCGAAGCTGCTACTGATAACTTCTCCAATGAAAACAAGCTTGGACAAGGTGGATTTGGACATGTTTACAAGGTAAAGAGAGATATAAAACTCACGTTGAGGGCTGTATGTATGTGTTCTCAAGGTTGAATATTGATGCATCCTAGTTGTTGGCCAACTTCAGGGTAGGCTCTCCAAGGGACAAGGCATTGCAGTAAAAAGATTGTCTAGGAATTCTGGGCAAGGAGATATTGAGTTCAAAAATGAACTGTTATTAATGGCCCAACTTCGGCATGGAAATTTAGTTAGACTCGTTGGCTTTTGCTTAATACAAAATGGACGGCTATTAATATGAGTTTCTTCCTAATAGAAGTCTTGACTACTTTATATTTGGTAAGCCAATTTTCTTGAACAAAACATTCATTACTTCTTTTATTTCATACATGACTTATTAAATTGTTATGCTAACTATACTCTTAACTAATTTATTTCAACTTGACTGTGTACATCCTTTTAAACGTTCACAATTAGATTGGAAAACTTGCTTCAAAATAATAGAAGGCATTGCTCAAGACCTTCTTTATCTTCATGGAGAATCTCAACATTAAATTATTCATTATAATCTCAAGGCAAGTAACATTCTCTTACATCTATAGATGAACCCTAAAATATTTGATTGGTGTGATATGACTATTTGTTTGAGATCACATTCAAGTCAATACAAATAGAATAGTAGGAACATGCTAAGTATCAAATTATGGAATGGATATATAAATTATTTTCCATAACAAACAAGAAAGTGTTGAATATGATTGTCAAGAGATATAGTAATGATTATATTGATGACAATGACATGCAGTGCTGGCACCAAAATATGCAAGATATGGGCAATTTTCAATAAAATCAGATGTCTTTAGTTATGGTGTATCGATTCTAGAGATAATAAGTGGCCAAAAGAATGGTAGTTTTTGCCACAAGGAGAGTGTGGAGCATCTTATAAGTTTTGTACGCCTTCTACCTCATTATTGTGATTCCTCAGAACTATGAATGCAGAAAATCAGTCGTTACCTTTATAAATTTATGCTTAAGGAATAATTGAAAAGCTTTGAACTAATTAAGCAACTTCATGCAGGCATGGAAAAGCTGGATGAGAGACACTGCCTTTGATATTGCAGACTCCACATTAAAAGATGGTTCAAGAAACGAAACAATGAGATGCATTCACGTTGGCTTACTTTGTGTCCAAGAAAAGGCTCCTTGTAGACCAACCATGGCTTCCATTGTTCTTATGATTAACAGCAACTCTTTCTGTCTCCCATTTCCCCTGCAACCTGCATTTTTTAGTAATCACGGAAGCTTCCCACTAGATGTCCAACATGTGGAGTATAGTTTTGATTAGGGCTGCACAAAGAACTGAGCAAGATTAGACTTTAGCCTAATCCAAAGTTTGGTTTCTTTCATAGAAAGGACTAGATTAGGCAACCTCTAATCATGTTTAATCTAGTTGTAGCCCAAAAATTAACATGACCAGATTTTGGTCCATAGGAGTGGAAGAATGATCCAATTAGTCTAGTACTCACTTAGTTTTTTTCCCCCTTCTTTTTCTCTATAAGAGAGAATAATTCATTTCAACCTGTGAATTCAATTAAGATAATAAAAATACTTATAATCACAAAAAATCCATGACAATCTCCAACAAAAAAAAATATTTTAATTACAATTCAAATAATTTAAATTCATAACTTTAACAACAGTAACATTCAACATACTTCAAAATGTCTAATCTATATTACAATAACGATTTAACAACAAATTAAATTAAAATTATATTAAAATAATTTCATAACATTGGAACAGACCAAGTGGTTTGAAAACTTGGTCTTGTGTCTAGTCTAACTGAGGAATTAATTTGGTGTTTTTTGTCTCTTTGGTCTTTTGAACCAATTTTTTTATTAGACCAAACAAGATTAGGTTTATTCGGATTGGACTATGTTGGATAGGACAATTGGACTTTTATACAACTCTAGTTTTGATTCAACAAGCTTAGAAAAGCAAGAAAGAAAATATGTTGAGATGCTATCAACAAATGAAGTCTCCATAACTGATTTATATCCTCGATGAGGATGTAGCAATTGTTATCAGAGATATTGTTCATCACATTTCTAGAAATGTCAGATCTGGATATATGTATTCAAAATATGGATTTTTTTTTTTTCCATATCTTTGGCAAATCTTTCTACAATCGAATATATGTTTTTTCAGTTACATACAACTGAATATATGTATGAAGGGTTTTGTTTATCTGATTATAACAAATTTTATCAAAAAGTTTCAATAATCTAGTTCATGTCAAGTGCATCTCCAGTTGAATTTTTCAAGCATGTTACTTGCATTTTCATTAAAATTTGGAACTTTATTGATATTTTAACATTGTTTTTCTTACCAAATTCTAGGGTGCCTTTTAGAAGAATTTCATATTCCTCAATATAAGTCACATAAAAGTTATTAATTAACATTTTCCTTTTTTAACCTTATTGCAAGTTACTTGAAGAAGAATTTCATTCTAATTTAATTTTTATATGAATTCTCGAATATTTTGTTTTTCTCTCTCTTCTTCCAAAACTGTTTCCCATGAAAGAGAATGAAGCATATTCAAAAAAAAACCTTTTTATTTTTTAAAACTATATTTTTTTAGTAGGGATAAAGTTAAAATATTTTTAATTTTACAATATACTCTCTCCATATTAAATTATAAGATACTTTTAAAAAAAATTCACATACCAAGATACCTCATTAAATACACTTAACAATCTTAATTTTTCAAAACAAAAATATGAACTTCTAAAAATGTTATTCATTTAATAACTTTAAATCTATACTAAATTACTAAATAAAAAAGGAGAAAAGATGATATTAGAATAAGTCCATTTAATAAATTTTAATCTTCTTATATACTAAATTACTAAATAAAAAGGGAGAAAAGATGATATTAGAATAAGTCCATTAATAAATTTTAATTTTCTTAAAGTATTTTTTATTTTGAGATATTAAATTTCTTTTAAAAATGTGTTATAGTTTAGGATCGAGAGAGATTTCATAAGTTAAGTGTCTTAATTGAAAGTGCTTAACTGCTTATAAAATATAAGAAATACCTTTAAAGGCCACCCCTTCTAAAATCTGAATCAGTAAATTCAATTCAATGAATTTAGAATGGCGGTGGTCTAGTCCCTCCACCTAGTTCGGAGAAGCTATTTCGTGTAAGAGGTCCGTCCTAATATTTTTCTGAACCAAATGACACGGAGGTAAAAAGTCCGTGCACGGAGGTAAAAAGTCCAAGCACGGACAGGAAGCTCATGATGTAAGGGGGTGAAAAAACTATGTTCTCGTTGACTAAAGACTCTTGACTGAAGAGAAGCTCCACCTTCCGTTTCAGACATTGTCTCCTTAGTACCCACAACACAGATCACTCAGAGAAGCGCCACCCATCCAATGGCTATTGCTTCTGTCCGATACATTTCCATTCGTTGTCTCTTCTTCTTCTTCTTCTTCTTCTTCTTCATTCTCATTTCTATATGCACCAGCCGATCAGAATACCCAAAAGATTACTGCTTCACTTCCTTTGGAACCTACGCCCCAAACAGCACCTACCCATTCAACCTCAATACCCTTCTATCAAAACTAACTTCAAACCATAACGTCGACTATGGCTTCTACAATCTCACTTATGGCCAATCCCCTAACACAGTCTACGGAATTGGTCTCTGCCGAGGAGATGTTACTCCCACCACTTGCCGTTCTTGCCTCAGAAATTCCACAACCATCACACAATCATGTGATGAATACACCACCGCAATTGCAATCCACGATGAATGCCTATTGTTCTACTCAGATTACACAATATCTGGTGTCGTCTCGACTCTTGATTTCACTATCGACGATAGGAGCGTCATAGATAATATAACAGATTGGGATCAGTACAAGCAAGTTCTAAACAACTTACTTGGGAGTCTGAGTCGGCAAGCAGCATCCGGTGACTCTCGTCGAAAATTTGCAGCCGGGAATACTGATGCAGGATCGAGTAGGAGAAAGATATATGGTGTTGCTCAGTGCATGCCAGATTTGAATGAATTAGAGTGTCGAAATTGCTTGGGTGGGGCGATTTCAAGAATCCCAGAATGTTGTGAGGGTAGCACTGGAGGTAGAGTTGTTAAACCGAGCTGCAATATCAGATTTGAGAGCCACAAATTCTATGAAATCATGGCTGATGTACCAATTTCGGTGTCAGTATCAACACCGGCACCAGTACCACCACTTTCTCCTTGTTCCGTCAATACAACTACGTCACAGGGTGTTTTTTTCTTCCCCTTCATTTTGATTTCCAGATGCACCAACCAATCAAGCTACCCAGAAGATTACTGCTTCACTTCCTCAATCTTTGGAACCTACGCCCCGAACAGCACCTACCAGTTCAACCTCAATACCCTCCTATCAAAACTAACTTCAAACCCTGATGTAGACTATGGCTTCTACAATCTCTCTTACGGCCAATCCCCTAACACAGTATACGGAATTGGTCTCTGCCGAGGAGATGTTACTCCCACCACTTGTCGTTCCTGCCTTAGAAATTCCACAACCATCACACAATCGTGTGACAAATACACCACCGCTATTACAATCCATGACGAATGCCTATTGTTCTACTCAAATTACATAATATTCGGTCTGGTCCCAGCTCTTGGTTTCACTATCGATGATAGGAGCGTCACAGATAATATAACAGATTGGAATCAGTACAAGCAAGTTCTGAACGGCTTACTTGGGAGTTTGAGTCGGCAAGCAGCGTCCGGTGATTCTCGCCGAAAATTCGCAGCCGGGAATACTGATGCAGGATCGAGTAGGAGAAAGATATACGGTATTGCTCAGTGCATGCCTGATTTGATTGAATCGGAGTGTCAAAATTGCTTGGATGGGGCAATCTCAAGAATCCCAGAATGTTGTGAGGGTAGCACAGGAGGTAGAGTCGTTAAACCGAGTTGCAATATCAGATTTGAGAGCCACAGATTCTATGAAATTGCGGCTGATGCACCCATTTCGGTATCAGAATCGCCACCGACACTGGCACCGCTACTTTATCCTCCTTCTGTCAATATAACGACGTCACAAGGTGCTTTTCAACCTATCTAAAATTACTTTGTTGGTTATTCATAAATCTTTTTGGTTTCTCATTGTTGGACCTCTGTTTTGGCATCATTTCTTTTTCTTTTCTCCCCATCCTCAGTTTTCTTACCATTACAATCCATTAATCCAATTAATTACGTATTATTTATATATTTTGAAGATGCAAAGTTTATTGGTAAGTTAATGGAATCTTACTTGAGGAAAGGGTATTTCAATAGTGAATTAAAAATATAAAAAGACAACAATACCCTCTAATATATTAATTTAAGTTTAGTTTGGGACCCAAAATTTCAAAAGTCTGGTAAAGGACCTTTACTTCTTAATAATCATGTCAAATTCTAAAATGTTTTAAGTAAAATTTTGAAAAATTAGTTGTAAATTAATATTAGAGCTAATAGTTAATTTAGACCTTAGATTATAAGTTTAGAAGCCATTTGAACTTCATACTTATAATTAGCACATTTTAAATTTTAAAAAATTAAATTTAGAGCATTCTCCCACCATGGTATTATTTTAGATAGAGTGGTGCTCATCATTTTTGCTTCTCCAAACTTCTGGTCCTCTCTGTCCTCCCATGTCTCACCCTCTCCCTCCTCCTCCCATTTTATACGTTAATATGTTGCCTTCTTACAAGGATTCATACATGAACTTGGCATCTTGAAAAGCTTGTTGGAAATGTCCCTCACTCATATACCAAATTTATTTCATTTTAAATAATAATATTATTAAAAAAATTTAATTTTTTTTAAATCCTATCATGATGGAAAAAATCTACCATGATAATAGAAAGTGAAAGATATTTTTTTAAAAACTACCATGATAATAAAAAGACTTATCATAACAAAAAAGATAGGATCATAAATTTAAAAATCTTACCATGATAGGAAAAAGTCTACCGTGGTAAGGTTTTTAATTAAAAAGCAAAATGATAATTTAGAAAATAGATCATGGTAAAATAGAACTTTTCTATAATTAAAATATCTCATAAATATCAACTACCATGATAATAAAAGATGGTAGTAAAAGAGTTTCATAAATCCCAAAAAAAAAAATCTACCATGATATTTAAGAACATAATCTAATTAATTAGAAAGTACTAAAATGGTTTCTCATTAACAAGTCTTTTAAACAAGATATAAAACGTTTAAAATAGTAGATCATGGTTCCCAACAAACTTTAAAATAAATAATTTAAAACATAAATCATATTGAATCTTTCAAATGATCAAATAATAATCCTTTAAGACTATAAGGGATAGACAGAAGTCTCATGACTAATAAATGTAGAATAAAATAAATTAAATTATAAATTTTAAATGCTCATAATAATCAAAATGTCCTAAGTTACCATTTTGTACACTACTTCAACAAAAAAAAAGAGAGAGGCCAAATATGTCAAAGGTGTCAATATACACCCAATAACTCTCTCGATACTTATTCAACTGGACCCTTTCCCAAAAACAATAACTACGAGGAATGAGACACGATAGTCCTAATAACTAATTCTAAGATGAAATAAAGCAAGTAAAGTAATCAAATATGCAAATTGCTAAGTGGGAACAAAACATATTTTAAAAGTTATATATATTAAATTTGTAAATACACTTATATGGTATGATAACTTCTTATCTCCTCCATACTCCATGCTTAATACTCTAGTTCACTTGGTTAAAGATAAGTTAGTCCAAACCATACATACCACTCATTGGACCTAAAAAAGGGGGATAAATAAACTTTTATTTTCTCCACATTGCAGAAAAATTGCTTGACTAATGAGATCAAATAACAATATGAAATTTTTAGTGAATTAATTGATAAAAAATTAAATTTCAGAGACTAAATTGACAACTGAGGCAAACTTAAAGATTGAAAATTTCATTATCTCGAAATATTAATTATGTAATCTTTTAAGAATACCAAGGATCCAAGGTTCTTACCTGAAATTTTTTTTTTAAAGAAAAAATTGTCTCAGACTAAAATTAAGTTGAAGCATTGGTCCTACATTTTCATTCCCCTATTAAGAAATGGCGCGCGTGGGAGGTCTCTGAGTTTAAAAAATGTAGTAGTGAAGCATTTGTCCTGCAGAATAATTGGGCTGCAAAGTCCTAACATCCAACATGCTTCATTATAAGCTTTTATTTATTTATTTTTTGTCCGGTCAATAACCAGGGTTTTCTTTCTCAGGAAAACACAATAAATCAAGACTTTTCATTGAGATAACAGGGCCTGTAGTTGGCTTTGTGGTACTGCTTAGCTTTATTGGGATTTATGTTGCAAGAGGAAGGAAGCTGAGAACAGCTTTTCAAAGTAAGTGCACATATCGATCTAATGGTGAGAGTATGCCATGACATTTTTTTTTTTTGTGATTTTTTAATTAATCAAGTGGGGCCAATCAATATGGTGGCCATGAAAAATCCAGGGACAAAAAATTTTATGAGCTGACTAATGACTCTCTCTCTCAAGAAAAATGACGGATAAAAGAAGATAATTGTTGAACTCAATGGCTTAAATTCCTCTCTACCAGATGAACTTGAAGCTGAAGCTGAAATTGAGCCTGTTGCATCAATACAGTTCAGCTTTGACACCATCAAAGTCGCTACAAATTCCTTCTCTGATGCAAATAAGCTTGGTCAAGGTGGATTTGGACCTGTTTATAAGGTTAGGATAACACTGTCATGTCAAGATAAATATCAATTCTAAGTCCAATCCCAATAAATCTTGGTTCTTGATCAACTTCAGGGTAGGCTCTCCAATGGACAAAATATTGCCGCCAAAAGGTTGTCAGGGGTTTCTGGGCAGGGAGATACTGAATTTAAGAATGAAGTGCTATTAATGGCTAAGCTTCAACACCGAAATTTAGTTCGGCTTCTTGGTTTTTGCTTGGAAGAAAAAGAGCGACTACTTATCTATGAACTCCTTCCAAATAGAAGCCTTGATCACTTCATTTTCGGTATGAAATTTTCTTTCAACAAAAATCACCTCAGTTTTTGTCGTGTGAATAAATAAGGTACAATCTTGGTAATTCTTTATATGATTATATCTTGATTTCAAACATGTAGATCCTATTAAGCGTGTATGCTTGGATTGGGAAGCACGTTTCAAAATTATAGAAGGCATAGCCCGTGGACTTAATTATCTTCATGAAGAATCTCAACAACGAATTATTCATCGAGATCTTAAAGCAAGTAATATTCTACTAGATACAAACATGAATCCTAAAATATCAGATTTTGGAATGGCAAAATTATTTTCCATTGATGAGTCTCAAGCCAAGACAAATCGAATTGTGGGAACTTTGTAAGTTTAACAATATGATAAGGCTACTTGCTGTCTAAACACTCTCTATCTCTATAACTAACAAAAGAAGTGAGCATGCGCTTGAATATATTTGTGTTTTAATGTGCAGAGGTTATATGGCACCAGAGTATGCAAAGCATGGACGATTCTCTGTAAAATCTGATATATTTAGTTTTGGTGTATTAATTCTAGAAATTGTAAGAGGGCAAAAGAATGGTCGCATCCATGATGGGGAGAGTATTGAGCACCTTCCAAGCTTTGTATGTTTTCCTTCTTTTCATTATTTATCTCATTTTCTTTTACCATATTAGATTACTTCAAATTTTCTGTAATTGTACCACTTCTTGCAGGCATGGAAAAGCTGGAGGAGAGGGACATCATCTAATATTGTAGATCCCACATTATCTGACAGTTCAAGAAGTGAAATAATGAGATGCGTTCACATTGGCTTGCTGTGTGTTCAAGAAAGGGCTGCTGATAGACCAACCATGGCTTCGGTTTTGCTTATGCTTGACAGCGACTCTTTCTCTCTTCCAGAACCCTTACAACCTGCATTTTTTATGAACAAGAAAAGTTTATCACACATCAAAACTGAGGAGTACAATTCTGTGTCAGCAAGCTCAAGTGAACAAAGTAGTAAAACTGCTGAAATATTATCAGTAGATAAGGCCTCAATAACTAAGCTATGTCCTCGCTAAGGGTAAAGGATCTACATTCAATGCTCATCATGTTCTCATTGTTGTGATGAGATATAAACTGTCCATTTTTTTTTTATAAAAAAGTGGCAACTATATGAATATCTTTATTTTAGATTATGTACATATTAAACTAAAAAGTTAATTAGAATATTAAAAAAATTAAATTAGATCTATTCCATCCAAAATCAATCTAAACGGTCCAAATTGATGATGAAAACCCCTTGATATGCTCTGTAAATGTAAATGTCAAAGTTAAACCCATGGGCATCAATTACCGGTTTACAACTTGTATTATAAAGAAAAAATAATACCCGATGATTGTCCAGATAATTAAAAAAAAAAAAATTCTTCAATCGCATCAGCATGGAAAGAGTGAGCCTTTTATTTTTATTTTGAACCCAGTAGTTCATGTGTTGTCAATAGGGATTTTGATGGATGATGAAGGAAGCGGTAAAGAAATTAACTTTTCTTGCAGGTTTAGGCTGTCAAAGGCTTGAAGCACTCTTAATCCTACAATACCACCATAGGTGCTGGTGTACAAGTTTGAATGCAACTTTGTGAACTTCCAGAACCTTTGTGCCACTTGTATGTTTGCCAACAACAGCGTTTGTGGGTTGACACTTGGTTGATTGAACTTGCAATGAAAAATATTGTCAACTCTTAATAGTCACAATCCTCTGAATAAGCCCAATCTTCCTAGCTCTTTTTGTTACCCCTTATCATTATTCAAGTAATCAAGCAAGCCCCAAAAGAAAATTAAAAATTAAAAATAACAGCTTAATAGCTACTCTCTCATACTTCCCGTACCCATGTAAACTGCATTTTCTGCATGCTTCTATTTTATTTTTCGATGTCCATTCTTGGGAGTAAAACTCAGTTGCAACGAGTTCATGTGAATCTGAAAGTAACTTGCGTAACTACTAAATTCTAACTTGTAGATAAAGCATGACAGGCATCATCTTGTAATATCCAGTAAAGAACATCTCTCGTACCCCTAAAAGAATCTTCACTACTGCCAAGCCTTAAAAATTTGGGAAAGAAAGAATGTTGCTACAAATTGATCTAAACCAAACAACTGATTTTAGAATCTTCTTTCTAATGAGGATGATTATTGTCCAACCTGCATGGATGGATCTCTAATTAGAGAAATTCTCTCTTGACTCTCAAGTATCTATCTTCTGTTCTTTACCTCTCCTTCCCTTGAGCCAATCATCATTTTCTCCTTCAAGATAGCTTAAGCATGTGACGAAGATAGAATTTTCATGAGGTTAAGATATTCTAGAAGTTTCCGGAACGATCCAGGACAATCAAGAAGGCCCCGGAGTCTTCTGGAATACGTCGGTATGACCTCGAAAGACCTAGATATCTCTAGAGTAGTGTAGAAAGCACTTGAAGCATCCAGATCATTCTAGAGATATCTTGCTCTTATACATTCTAGTAGTCTCCTTGTAATTATCAAGATATTTCTTGTAGATATTTCTATAGAATTATCTAGAGATAGAATGTACACCGTTAGATCAAATCAATCCCAACCGTCCATTAAGGAGGTGGGAATTTTCTAGAGAAAGGGGGAGGCCTATAAATACCCCCTCATCCCTCATTTGTAACTCACTCAAGTTTAGTGTAAAAGCTCTTAAAGTTCATTCACTCAAACTCTCTACTCTCTACTTGCGCATCTAGTTCTCTTAGCCTCTTTGCCTACTTGTGGGAGTCGGCTGACTTAGCAAAGATCAAGAGAGGGATCAAGCTAAGGCCGGCACGGTTCAAGGGAAGGGAGTTCCAAGGCCGTGACATTAAGCTTCGTTTTCCCTCCTCTTCCCGTTGGCACAAAACCTTTCCGTTGGTTGTGTTTAATTATTTCTGCTGCTCTGTATCCTTCTTTCTTTTGTTTCCTTATCAGTCTCTCTCTTCCGCCATGCACTTACAAATCTCAATTCCTCAACAGAACAAATGGGATATGAGTGATCATTTAATACCATGTGAGCCAACAGACTATGGGTCAGCTATTAAATTGATAAGAAAAAGTACTACACTTGATCTTAGCCAAAAGGCCTAGAAGTCATTGATAATTTTATTTTTTGTTGTTTCCACCCTTCAAGGACAATCTGGTGGTGTTTGCCCCCAACCAAAGTTCTGACTGCAACCAAGTTTTAAAGACCATGCGGTTCACAATATTGATTTTGACCCCGTCAATATCCAAAGGGAATAGTATTTTCCTTTTTCTTTTTGTTTTTACTTTTGGTGGGATAAATAAGGGAAACAGTGATATTAAATATCTGATATATTAAAATATTAACATATTTCAAAACAGAAGCCAAGAGAAAAGATAATATTAAAATATCTGAGAAGAAGGTCCATTTAGATTGGTTCAGTTCGTATTCAATGAAGCATTGGCAGTTGTACATACTATAAATAAACACAACAAACATTTGGGTGTTTCCTAAAGGCAACATGGAGCTGAAAGAGACATACATGCACTCCCTGTACTTCTCTCATTAGTGAAAAGCTTCACATTTATCCCAGCAAATTAGCCGGAGAAGCCTAAAGTGAAAATGTTTCACTCCCTAAACTGGAGAAATTTTCTTCTGGTTTTATTCTCAGTTTCTGCGTTTATCATCCCTCATAACTCCCAGATAACCTACCTCAAAGAGGCCTGTAATCATCCATCTAATAGCAGAGATTATGCAAAATTCAAAATCAACCTCACTTTCCTCTTGAATTCTTTGTCTTCTAAATCATCCCTTCACAGCTTTTACAAAGGTTTTTCGCGTAATCTTTATGGTCTCTACCTCTGCAGGGGTGATGTTTCCTTTCAAACCTGCCAAAACTGTGTCAAAGTTGCAATTCGAGAAATCAAAATCAAATGTGCATATAAACAAAGTGCAATCATCTGGTATGATCAGTGCATGCTCAGATACTCTCAAAGGAAGTTCTTTGGAGTGGCTCAAATTTCGCCAGCAAAATTAATGTGGAATCAGAAAAATAGGACTTCAGTCAGTCAACCCGATGTTGAAGCGCTAGCTCTGATTTACCAACTCATAAAAGAAGCCACAAACACATCTATGCTGTTCAGAGCAAACGGTTCAGAGGTGGTGGCCAATAGTTCTGAGCATCGATATGGGCTTGTGCAGTGCACAAGAGACTTAGACAGTAGTTCATGCAGCTTCTGTTTGTCACAATTGATGGTAGAAGCACAGAAGTTTCCCCGCCAGAAGGCTGGTTGGCACATATTTGGTCCAAGTTGCAATATAAGACATGAAAATTATATCTTCTATCAGCAAATTGGGGGACCAGATATTGCCCCTGTATCACCAATTTACCAGCCAGATGATGCAGGTAGATGCATTTTCTTTTTCTGATGTTTTAGTTTCCTCAGAAATTTGTGTCATCTCTTAGACTGAACTTTCCAAGTTTGAATCTCAATCCTAAATTCAATTAAAAAAAGCATGAACTTGTGAATACGTACTTTAACTAACCACTTTTTTCTTTAACTTTTAATTAAGAAATGGTTTACGCTTAGAGTTGGATCAGATTCCCCACCTATACTAACACAATTCTTGTACGAGCAGGTTCTGTGGAAGAATTCACATCCAAAGCTAGAGCCAGTGTAGTTATGCTTGTCCCGATTGCAATGGCTGCAGCTTTTTTGGGTTTTGCAACTTACGTATGTTTTCACTGGAAAAGAAAACTTAAAGGTATGTGATGAGAAGAATCAAGCTCTTCTGAAGTTTATTTTACTTGAAGTTTGAAGAGAGAAAAAGAGGCTGTGGCCCTTATATCCACCATGTTTGTCCTACATGAGTGGGCCCCATTTCTTTTCTCTCTTCCTCTATCTGATCCTAAGGTCAAAGGATATGTTACATGATGAGAGTGAGAGCCTGACTATATTTTTCTACTTTTCACGCACTAAATGTTTTATTTATTTGCAGAACTTTCTAACTAGTATTTTTTTATATCCAGGGGGAGAAACAACTGATGAAATTCTGATACAGAAGTTGGAGAATTCAAAGAAGCCCCACTTTAAAGAGAAAGGAACCGCGAAAGATGAGTACAACAATGGAGGAGTTCAAAACTATAGTTTGAAGACCATTAAGGTCGCAACAGACTATTTCTCAGAAGAAGCCAAGCTAGGGAAAGGAGGATTTGGACTCGTTTTCAAGGTTGGAGAGCAAACTTTCTTACCTGAGTTTAGCATATTGAGTTCAAGTGCATGATGTGGAAGTTGCATTAGAAATGATTAATTTTCATGAAATAAATGGAGTATTCACCTTACTCAACCATCTGCCATCCTGACTCTCTAAATATGCACAATTTATCATCCAACGGAGGCATCAAATTGCATAGATTTAATTACAAACTTTTAAACTGAAAAAATCAAATTGAAATTTAAATCAACCATCAAATTGTATGATAATTATTTTGATAATTCCTCCAGGAATATTTTGCAGACTTTAAAATCAATGATTGTGAATGAACTACACTTTCCTAAGATATATCAGTTCTCATTTTTTACGGAAAACTAGATTTTTTTTTTCCCTTCATATTTCTTGATTGTGATTAAACTATAGTATACATCCAGGGGAAGTTGAGTAATGGCAAGGAGATAGCAGTTAAGAGGCTTTCATTCAAATCAGGGCAAGGCCTTGAAGAGTTCAAGAATGAAGTGACATTGATAGCAAAACTTCAACACAAAAATCTTGTGAGGCTTTTGGGGTTCTGTCTGGAAGAAAATGAAAAGCTTCTGGTCTATGAATACATGCCCAACAATAGCCTTGATACCTTCTTGTTTGGTTTGTTTTTTCCCTCCCTCTTTGATTACGCAAATATCTATATCTACTTATTCATAAGGAGTTTTCTTTTAAGCAGATCCAATAAAACGTCAACAACTAGATTGGTCTAAGAGGAGGAGTATTATAAAGGGAATTGCCAGAGGACTCCTGTATCTGCATGAGGACTCAAGGCTAAAAATTATCCATAGAGATCTAAAAGCAAGCAATGTGTTACTAGATGAAGAGATGAATCCAAAAATATCAGATTTTGGAACTGCTAGAATTTTTGGCAGCAATCAAATTCAAGCTAGTACTGAAAGAGTTATTGGCACATAGTAAGTACTTATAATTCTCACTGCTTCCCTTATAGCCCTATGTGACACATGCTATATGATGTTTCTTCGTATTGTTCACCATTGCACTGTTCCTTTCAGCAGAATCGATATTAACCTTATACAGAAATTGAATTTGCATAACATTGATACTTTGTCATCGCTAACTTTATTCTGTGGACCGAATATACCTAAAAGATGTTTACTCTTATTGCCTATCCTTCTTACTTGATAAAGGCTTCCTAAACATTCTACAGTGGATATATGGCACCTGAATATGCTTTAGAGGGATTATTTTCCATCAAGTCAGATGTTTACAGCTTTGGTGTCATCATGCTAGAAATTATCAGTGGAAAAAGAAACACCGGCTTCTACCAACCAGAACGTGGTTTGAGTCTTCTCTCCCATGTTAGTTTTTTTTTTTTTTTTAATTTACTTTGCCCCCATATTTTACTTGGAGGCTTTTCATGATAGTGAAATAAGGTTAAAAATTGTTATATAATATTTACCAACAATTGTTCGTGGAAAAGAAAACCTCATTTCGCCTCTATGAGAGTTTGAACAGGCATGGCGACTCTGGAATGAAGGCAAAGGACTTGAACTTGCGGAGCGTCAATTGGTCAACACTTGCCTGGACAAGGATGAAGCTTTGAGATGGATCCACATTGGGCTTCTATGTGTTCAAGAGAACCCACAAGATAGGCCCACCATGTCATCAGTTGTTCTCATGCTAGCAAGTTCCAGCAATCTTCCTTTCCCATTTGCTCCTCCATTTTCAGTCGGCAGATTCTTCGCTGCTTTTCAGTCCTCCACAACTGTTTCCACTAAGAAAGTTTCATGTGATTGTTGATTGAGCCCAGTATCCTCACTTGCTGTAATTATTAATGAGGATCTTCGTAGAAGGAACTTATTGGTTGACTCAACTCGTATATTATACGTTTCGCTGTTGGCTTTATCTCAGTTTTTCATGAGGAGAAAGATCAAGGCTTCTGCTTCTTCATCCTTTTTGCATTAGCCGTCAATAGTTTGGATAAAAGCGAGAGACAGTGCACCTGTGCAACAAGAAGAATCAGAAAAACCATGAAAGAAGGGTAAATATTAAGAATGAAAAAGTGCATATTTTGTAATTTCACCATCATGGTGTTGTTCATCTTTATCCATCTAAACAGATATTTCCATGCTTCTAAGGAGTGACAATAACTATATGACAAAAGTTTGACCCCAAAAGTTTGGTCAAAAGCTGTTTTTTTTTTTTTTATCAACAACGTAGAAACTTAGATTAAGGCCGGTATTCAGACACTGGCTCTAAGTTTTACAAGAAAAAACGACACGTAGAGATATTTTACTTCACAGTCCGTCCTTCGAAAAATTAACTGAATTTAACAGCAAGCACATAAACAACTTTACTAAGGTTTCATCATACAATAAAATCAACATCCAGCCGCAATTGAACAGCCAATAGAGCACAGATCAATGAAATTTACATCCCCCTTGAATGATCCTTCAAGCCACTGTTAGGAAAAGTTTATAAAAAAAAAAAAACAGCGAAGATTGGAAGCAAGTTTGAAACGGAGTGTGGCCCATCAAGCAAATAGGAAAGAGTGAGCAAATTGCTTGGGCAAATAAGGGCTAGCTGTTACCGGTCCGGTATCGAAAGCTTGAATCCTTTAGCAAACGAAGTGCGAATTCTGCAAGAGCAAGATCAAAAAACGAGGCTCTGAGGGTGCGTTTTGGGAAGGGTGCTTTTCACATTGTTTTTTACTTTGACAAAATTAAATGGTGTTTGGATATTATTTATAATGTAAAACTAACTTTTTGAATATGTTTTTTAAATTTGGTTGAACGATAAAATTTAAAAGCTAATATCTATAACTTTTAAAAAGTAAAGATGTGATACCTATTATTTAAAATAATTATGATATTCTTAACTTTATATTTGTCTTTTTCTCCTGGCCAAATTGATCTACATCTCGTTCTTCAAAACTCACCTTACGGTCTCTCTTTTCTGTACTCTGTTCTCATCTGTGTTCTGTCACTTACCTGTTTTGGAAAATCAAAAATTTGATTTAAAATAAAATGAGTAAATTATGAAATTGGCCCTCCAATTTCTTAAAAACACAAAAAACCTAAATTAATTTAATTAAATAAACTAAAGTCTTAAAAATGAGAATAAAAATTATCCAAGTAATAAAATGTATCAAGAAATTAAATTTTTAAATAAAAATATTTAATTTCAATAAAATGTGTCCAATTATAAATTACCATAAATCAATACCCTTTTTTGTCATTACATGTTTAAAAGTACATTTTAAAAGCATTAATTTTTATTAATTCAAATAATTTTCAGTTTGTTAAATTAACTTTTAAAAAAATGCATCCAAACACAAATTTCATTGCAACAACTGACTTTTAGCAAATTGACTTTTGTCAAATGAATTTTCATCAAATTAACTTTTGATAAATTAAAAATCAAACACACACTGAATAAAAAATGAAGGACTTATTGACAATCAATTTCAAAAATAAATAATTAAATAAATACACTAGGACCAAATAACAGACATTTTTTTGGTAGAAATATATATATACATATATATGTATATAACTTATATTATATTTTGGATTAAGGAGAATTTCTAAAAAAGCACCTTCTATGGTGAGGTGAGAATATATATATTAACAGGCATTTTTACTCTCACCTCTTCACTTTGTGCCCACCAAGATGGCTCAAGTAACAGGAACTCAAATCTCGAGAATATTGTTATTTTAAGAAAAATGTAACACTTAATTTATCTGGATTCATGAACATTTGCTTGATCCAATACCAATACCATGACGAAGAATCAAGAAATGTGAATGGAATTAAGTTGGCATTGCCGTATAATGCTCAAGCTTCAAGTTAAATTGAGGCCACACGTATATATTTATTTATATACTGACGGAATTGTATTAAATAAAAAAGTGAGTGAAGAAAAGGAACCTTCCCACGGCAAACCACACATTTCACGCAGACTAATAAATATAATGCTTTTATTTCAAAGGCTCAACATTTAATAATTTTTTATTATTTATATGTATTTCTATAATAAAAATAATTTTACTTGAGTCACATACGTGCTTCTTTTAACAAGAATTTATTATATTGTAAGAAATTAACATATTCAATAATTAATTATGAAAATAATGGTAACACTCATAACATCCAAATTTAAAAAGTTAAAAACTAAAAAGAGTCCTTTGGGCATGGCCCATGTTTTAGACTTCAAACCTCCCCCGTTGGTGTCTTGCTGTCATCAGCTCACCTTTTGGTCACTAAAGTCTCTCAATCTGTACTAAAAATATTCTCATGTCTTCGTTTTAACACATAAACATAATAAGAAATTAAATGTCATTAAATAATAACGACAACAATGTTAATAAAGCGCAAATAATGATATTATAATGTAATTAATCTCAGGACAAAGCTTATTATTGTCCTAAGGTTTTATTTCTTGATTTTCTTCTTTTTCTTTCCGTGACCTACAAACTAACACATAAGCAATGTATTCCACTTTAAGTTTGGTTTGTCTAGATATAACGCCCTTTTTATGATGAGGATTTGATGCCACTGTGCCACATAGACTTCGGCTTTGTCATCCTATTACGAGAGAATAAGAACAGTGAAAGGTATTAAAAATGGGATTAGTTATTATTAAATCAATCAAAATACTGATTCAATAATGAATAGGTAAAATTGAAATCAAATTTTGATTATACTTTCATAAACAAACAAAAAATTCATTTAATCAGTTCACATACTAGTTTATTAATTTACTGGTTTAATTGGTGAGATACGGATTGACAGGATTTATAATACTACGAATATGAATATGAATGTGATAAATGAGATCCTTGAAAACCTATATGAAAAGGATTATTTAAATACAAAATAGTGAACTGATTGAAAAGCGGAGTTGTGCGTGTCGATAATTTCGATTTTTAATTTAGTGCGTTTGTATGTGTGGACCATATTTCAAATGTATATGCTTGGCTGGGGAACGACGAACACTTATAAAGCTACAATGTATTCGGACACACTAAGGGCATGCATTATCGTTTTCTATGATATTTTTTCAAGAGCCACATGCTTCCTATTCTTCACATTATTATCTCTCTCTTTCTATCTGATCAATTTCACACATCTATACCCCTTAATCTATGCCTGTATTTAAAAGACTATAACACCTTTTTAAAATTGGCTATTGTATTAATTACTTGAAATAATAATACAATTAGTTGACAAAATTAATATTCTTTAGATCCCGTTTATAAATCACTTTTAACATATTTTATTAAAATAAAAAAAATTGAAATTTATTAATTCTATTTAAAAATTTAATAATTTTTTCTTTATTAAATATACATATTTTAAATACATATTTTTTTTCTCCAACATTTAATAGAGAGCTAATGATAAAAATTTGATCAGAGTTGATTCTCGAAAAATTGAAATGAAAGCATGAAGGCAGTGCATCAACATAACCCGGGATCATTCCTTAACATATACCTTAAACATTTTGTTCCCCTCCTTTCAAAACTAATGGATTCCTAACAAAGTCTCAATCCATAAAAAGGTACTCTGAATGCCAAGCTCAGTCAGCTCCGTGTAAATTATTTTAAAGAGGTAGGTAATATTATATTATAATTTATTTTATATTCTCGTAAATGAAATAGTTTGATCTCATAAATTCTTGCCCTTCAGGCCAAAATGAACAAAGGATTCTCATTCTTTTCATCTTACACCCTACTGAAGTACATAAAAACATAATAAAAACGCATCGAACAAATAGAATACAGATGTAACAAAACATGATTTGTCGGCCAAACATGAATCAAATTCGGAAGATAATATATGAACAAAAGGAATTAAAACCAGATCCTGCATTTCAATTTCACTGTACATTTTTTTTTTTTTTTGGGTTTTGCCGCAATAGCTGTACATTGTCACTCAAAAAATGCCAGGAAAAAAATCTAGGTAATTAATCGATCAAAACGATGTTAGTTGCCAAAAAGAGAGAACTCGTTGCCTAAACGACACAATTTCCAGTAAAACGACAGGCACATGAATCTACTGCCTCAATTCCTTTCGGAGCTTCTGAGAGAACAACTTGCATGCATCCAAGCTCAAATCCATGGCTGCCGCAAGAGCCACAAACGCCGCCGCGTCCTCAGTGCAAGTCACGTGCTGAACCCCAACTTCCACCTCTGGTTTACTCCGCTTCCCCTCTCCGTCCACCGTAGCCGACATCACAAATCCCTGGTAAAATAGTTGCTTCTCCAACCCGAATTCCGACCCCGATCCAGAACCCGACCTTGATCTCGACCCGGATCCCAAATCCCAGCTTCCGTGTGGGCTGTTGACTGGTGTGACCCCAGAGGTAACATCAATTGTGAATTTTCCACCATTTATGGCGCTGATGGTTGAACCGGCGAGTGCCACCGGTTCAGCGGTGGCCGGAAGCACCTCGAACTTGAAACCCACCGAATTGGAACTGTTCTGTTCGCGCCAAGCCTCGAGTCGCCCCCAAGGCTTCCAGGTGCCGTCGCCGCCGGGTTGAAGGATAAGCCATGCGCCTGGGTTGGACCGGCTGACCCGGTGGGTGCCGGGGGAGGGGACGAACGGCGTGACCATCGAGGCGGCCGCTACAGGGGAACCGGATAGGTCGTGAATCGTAATGGACCATCCTTTGCGCTCCGGAGATTGGTCCTTCTGAGATTTCAGCGAGTGCAACCAGCCTTTTGAATTGCTTGGCTCTGCTATAGATGACCTAGAAGCCAAATTTCGATCCCTGAAACTGAACTTGCAAGTGAAAACGGGCTGTTTTACATTTCCTTGGATTTGAAACACCTGCGGGCTACACTCTGGTTCGCCGTCGAACCGAAACACGAATCTCGGGTCCGGTTCAGCCCGGACAGTCAAGTGCAATAACTGCTCCGACGATACCTTTTTCTTCTCACCCAGGGAGACCCAACCATTCTGAAACATACAAGCGCGAGACTCAGCCAAAGTAAGATCCAAGGGCACAGAAATTTTCCCCAATAACTTGGCGGTGCTGAAGCCAAACGCCGATGTAATTATCCGACCCTTGTAAACGGAAATCCTCAGGAGAGGGATTTTGGACGATTTCAGAAGCTTGTCGATCAGGGGCTTGCTCAAGTCGAATGAAGCAGCTAGGGAGTGAGGTTGAGAGTCGCCGGCGTCATGCGAGACAAGAGGAACGGTGGCGTACTGGTGATCGAAGGATTTGAAGTCCTTGAGCTTGATCTTACAGAAGCAAGGAGGAGAAGTAGAAGGATGAACTTGGCCGGAGAAAGACGAAGGCTTGGTGGAGGCCGGAGATTTGATGGCCAAGTTTCCGACGAGGATCCGAATATAAGGACACGGATCCATCTCGTGGGATTTCCGGCGAGTGAGACAACGGTGAAGAGAGGATTTGAACTATCGTTGCTGGGTATAATATGAAAGGGAGAGGCAAAGGAAGCCGCGCTTATAAGAGTCTGGTGAGAAGAAAGAAGACAGTTGTTGTGCAGGCAACCCGAATGAGACAGCCTGTAAGTTGGAGGATTTTTCGTTAACTTTTTGATATGTTGGAAAACACTGTGGGTCCCATTGCAAGTTGGCATTTTTTGAACTGATCTTCGTATATTACAATTTTTTTTTTAATTGTAGCTTTGCAAGTAGCCCGTTTAAATGTTTTTGAGTTGAATTGGATGACTTGAATTTTTTTTACCACAAGAATGACTTGAATTGAATCCCACGTTTTATTGAGCAGAAACGTGAAATGCGTTGAAGTGAATCAAATTGAGTGATAATTTGGATTTGATTAGATTTGACCAGTGAGTTTCTTTAGTGATATTTATCTCCATTCTTGCGCAATTTAAAAAAATAAAAAAGTTTTCAAATGGATGATATTTATTTTGAACCGTATTAAAAGCTTCATAAATTCAATGATTTTGATAAATTTAATACTTCTTTCATCCTAAATTATAAGATATTTTTAAATTAATAATTAAATGCATCAATTTTATATTATTATTTTTCTCTCTATAATTAATTTTCATCTTTTTTCTTTTTAATATATTAATTATGGTATTTTTGAAAGTTTTTTTTAAAAAGATAAAGTTGTTAAGTATATTTAATAAATTTATTAATATATGAGATTTTATCTAAAATATTTATAATTTGAGACGGGGGAGTATTGTTTTATATTATTTCAACTTTATGCTAAATATGTGGGGGAATAAGACTTTAGACTTTTATTTTTTTTTTTTTTTGAAAAAATATTTTTCTCTAAAAAGCAAAATGCAGAATGGATAAAAATATGTTCTTGGACAATTATAGAAAGCTTCATTGAATTGGTTTATGTGAGAGATTTGAATACACTCTCCCCAACTTATAAAGCATTTTCATATAAAATCACATGTATCAATAAAATTTATTAATATGTTGTATAATTTTATTTTTAAAAAATATAATTTTTTTAAAAATAACTTTTATTTAATATTTTATTTTAAAAAGTAAAAAATGAACAAATATAATGGGAAAGATAAATTTGAAAAGATATCATTAAGGAAGAATGACAAATAAGAAATTTGTAAAATATTAATATTAAATTAAAATTTTTTAACACTGACTTTTCAAATTTCAGTGTCTCTTCTACCATATTTTAGTATTAAAGTTTCTAATGTAATATTAATATTCTTATAATGTGTTTACTTGTCATTATCCCTATCATTAATAAAACCTTATTTGTATCATAATATATTATATTTTGGACGTTGAATATCATCTAAAAACATATTATAATTTGGTAAGAATGTAGTATAAATAGTGAGCTGAAAATGTGACCATCAACATTAATAATGTATTCGAATTCAAATCATCGGATGTGTTGTTTCCTTGTATTGCGGTTGTTTATGATAAAATTAGGTAGGAAGTGCCAATTATGTCCAAAGGGCACGTAATTCCCTCAAGCTGAATCAACCTAATCATCAATGATTCTTTGCTTTGGTTTAATTATTAAGTTGACAATGTGCTTCCATTTTTTGTTTTAGGTGTAATAGATAGTCGCAAGTCTGCCTAACATAAATTTGTGAAGCTGTACAAAATTTTGGACAAGAACTCAATCCCCCACCAGGAGTTGCGAACCCAATGCATATAGGATTTAATTATACAAATAATAAAGTTAAGAAATTTTTTCAGGAGCAAAATTAATTTTATAAAAAAAATTAAGCATTTGAAATCGTGGTGTGGGGCAAAATTAGTTTTTGAATATGTTATATAAAAAATATAAAATAAATAATTGTTATTAAATTGATATTTTTAAAACTCAACTGTTATCCCCCCCCTTTTTTACATTGATTTAACATTTTGATTATCCTTTTCTTGTTGTTATTCTTGCCTCCCTTAAAACATCAAATCATGCAGTGCTAATGAAAGTTAATTTTACTCAAAAAAGACACCCAAACAACATATAATTGGTTTGCATGCTAATCCATGTTGATTTTCCTTGATGAAAGTCTAATCCGTATAGTCCGTTGCTGAACTGTATCGATGCGACATGATCTGGGTGGGACTCTGGGTGTCATAATAGGAAAAAGATCAGAAACACTTGGCGGAATTTTTCTATACTTGGGTAAAAAGACTATTCGTGATGAAAACTTCAAAATTTTAAAAATATTTCATAAAAGATTAGAATCTAAATTTAAATTCGAGATCTTCAGTTATAAACTTATAATGTTTATTTTGTTTAAAATTTTCGTTCATATTATTTAAAATAATTATAAAATATGAAGTTAAATATATAAGATCATTTTTTTTTTCCTGAAACTAATTCAAAATCGCCGTTTCACTCCTAGTTAGTTAGTAAGCAAATGCCGAGTCGTCGTAATTGCCACATCAAATGATAATTCTCTCAACGAATCTTGACATAATCTTCAAATTTCAATTAACGTGACAAAATATCGACCTTGATAATAATGTACCACCCTCTTCAAAATTGTCATTTAAAAGATGCTAGCCATCAACTTAGCTTCTTTGAAATTTGGTTAAAAAAAAACTAAATTTCAGAGACAAAATATTAATTTTTTGTCATTTATAACTATATAATTGCTTTAACCTATTTTTTCTTATATTACTGGGTGCAATCAGGCTTGGAAAATGAGGGGAATGTAAAAAGGGGGGAAAAGAGTTTTTTCTACCAAAAAAAAAGAGCTTTTGGGTTTAAGTTTAAAATTAAAGTCCTAGAAAAAAGAAACTCGACTAAAATTAACCCATATAAGTTTTTTATTTTAATTTTTTATTTCCAATCTCTCTCACTTGTCTTCTTCCTTGTCACACTCGACGTGCCCATATACCACAGTTCTAGTCGTTTCACTTTGCATCCTTGTGCTATGTTGTATTTTCATTTATACTTTTTAAAATTTCAATTATCACAATTGCCAATATCTAATTCAGTTATTTGTATTGTAGTTTTTTCAAGATTAAAAAGGTTTTAATTACGAGCCCGTCCCAGAAACTTTGATTATTAGGGATAAAATTTGCAAATGACTCCATATGAAAGAAATATGGCTTTAACTAGGGTTCAGAACTTAATGGCTATGTTTGTTCATAAGAGTCAAGGTAACTTGTTCCCCAAGCCTACCCTTACGTCACATATTTATATAATGTTTAATTATTATTAATTGTTTATATCATTATTCATGAAAACTTATATGTATATATCAACATCATGATAAATGATAAAATTGAAAGGTTAAATGTATTAACCAATAGTTGTTTTGTTGAGAGGAAGAGATTCAATTCTTTTTAAATAATGTTTAAAACTTTAAACTAGTCAATAAAATTTTCAAAATTGAGTGCTACAATGTTCAAATTCAACTTAATAATATGATATCGTGTATTGATATTTGTATCTCTGCAACACCAATGGCGTCCAAATTCATGCTTTTTTAGTGAATAACCTCCTGCAATTATTCAATTATTAGGAGAATACTAACGAAGGACCTTCTAAAAAAAATTTAATATCTAACAAGGATTTAGCCAAATTGAATACTTATTAAATAATATATTTACTTGTTAATTTGTTAATGTAATTTACTTGTTGGATATATTTATAAAATATTAAATTCTTTTAAAAATTTTTATTGATATTTTTCCTAATAAAAAAAAGAGTTATACATAGATTTCAAATAAAAAATTAATTACTCACAAGTCTCGCGCACCATTCTACTTATAAAAAATAATTTATATTTATATTTAAAACCTGATTGTAATAGCGTCTTGAAAAGAAAATGAACCCTGGACACGACATTGCCTCCTTCAGCAATTAACAAATTAAAAATACAAAACTTCTATTCAAAATTAACTGCTTGAATAAAAGAAGCATTGATTATGATGTTAATTGGAGCCCACCTGAATTTAGATGGGTTAAACTCAACATCAACAATTTAGTTAACATTAATAGTGTTATTGTTTTTGGAGGCATCATCGATAAAAAAAATTAGATCAAAAGATTTTCCAAGCGTTTTAGCTATCAACCCAACGAAGCAAATGGATTTATAGGAATCTACGAAGGCCTTAACCTTTGCTAAAAGAAAAAATTATCTGGAGTCAACATTTATTGAGACTTGAAGGGAGCATTATCTCTCATTAGCTACAACTATTCTATAAGTCATTTTTTATCTAACATTATCAGAAAAATCTCAAAGATTTCATTTTGAAAAATTATATGATTATTTTTGATTATATTTATAGATAAGTAAATAAATATGCCGATCACTTAATTTAATGAATATTTTGTGACAATTTTAATATTATAATTTTTAATGTTCTCTCGAATAAATCTAAAAATCTCTTAACTTTAAAGATGACTAAATCTTAATTTCTTTATACAAATTATCAGGGTCATGAATTTAAAAAAAATTATGAATTATGAATGATGATGACTACGGAGTTGGGTTACGTGAAAGGAAAGGAAGAAGATGAGATGGAAGTTGAAGGGACAGGGGAGAGGTAGGGGAAGTGGCCAGCAAAGAAAGAGCGAAAGCTGGCTGTATCCTCTTGTTCACGTCGCCTTCGCTTCCCTTGCGCCTAACTCCCTGTCCCTCCTCCTTCCCACAGCTGTTTCCTCTATTCCTTCCACTTCCCTCCTCCTCCTTCTCTCTCTCTCGTGGGCCCCACCCTAGTCTCCAGAGATAACACTCACTGCATCATTTTTTCCAATCTTTATCCTTCCAGCACATGTTATTCCTTCTTTCACATAAATCTGGTGTCATTTCCATTTTATTTTCTCAGATTTACTCCTGCAACTCCTCTCTTAAAATTCATGAATGTGCCATGTTACCCACATCTATCAAGGTTTTCTATTTTTTCTTAATTCAAGACTTTAAAATTCGTATGTTTATTTTATAAATTAAGCAAACTTATTTACGATTTTTTTTTTATGAAAAAATGACACGAAATGGAATTACA